AAAAATTAAATATAATTTTTTTTTATTTGTATATATTTTTTGTTTGTTTTATTATATATATTTTTAAATTTCACATAATTGTTATACTTATTAAAAAGACATATTAACTAAATTAAACTGATTTAATTTTAAATATTTAATTTAATTACATTTTTTATATTACATTTTTTTGTGAATTATTCAAATTAAATTAAAATATTATATATATATATTGAGACTGCAAGCTCTTTTGGTGCGGTTTGATCACCAAAACTTTGATTGGTGGAATTTTCTGCACAGCATCATGGGTAATGTAGTTTTTCACCACAAATTCGGCTATTAAACATTATTGTTTTGAAAATAAGTTGAAATAATGCAGAAGCATAACCCATGGATTAACAACCTCGTTAGAGGTTTATAAGTGATCAGTAAAGCCCTGATTGGTGTGTGTCTCCAGAGAAAGCCAAGGCCAGTGACGCCCGAGTCCTGGTTCACTGTCTGGCGGGAATCTCGCGCTCGGCAACCATCGCCATCGCCTACATCATGAAGAGGATGGACATGTCATTAGATGAAGCGTACAGGTAACAGATCATGTGACCTTCCATTATTAGTGTGAGTCTCATTCTCAACATCAACTCAAAAGACGTTATTCTGATGATGGTATTGTGAAGTATTACATTTAAATAGAGCATTTATACATTATGATAGTGTTTGATTACATGCATTTAATTGATTTAAATGTCAATTTTGTAGTTATAACATGTTCATTGCTTTGGTTTTGGGTTGAGATGTGACGTGCTCTCACTGCACTCGCAACCAAATCAATCAAAAATCACAGCCAATCAGAAGAGAGTGTGGCGGAGTCTCTCTGCATACTCACTGCACTCGCAACCAAATCAATCAAAAATCACAGCCAATCAGAAGAGAGTGTGGGCGGAGTCTCTCTGCAAACACACTCCACTCGCAACCAAATCAATCAAAAATCACAGCCAATCAGAAGAGAGTGTGGGCGGAGTCTCTCTGCATACTCACTGCACTCGCAACCAAATCAATCAAAAATCACAGCCAATCAGAAGAGAGTGTGGGCGGAGTCTCTCTGCATACTCACTGCACTCGCAACCAAATCAATCAAAAATCACAGCCAATCAGAAGAGAGTGTGGGCGGAGTCTCTCTGCATACTCACTCCACTCGCAACCAAATCAATCAAAAATCACAGCCAATCAGAAGAGAGTGTGGGCGGAGTCTCTCTGCATACTCACTCCACTCGCAACCAAATCAATCAAAAATTACAGCCAATCAGAAGAGAGTGTGGGCGGAGTCTCTCTGCATACTCACTGCACTCGCAACCAAATCAATCAAAAATCACAGCCAATCAGAAGAGAGTGTGGGCGGAGTCTCTCTGCATACTCACTGCACTCGCAACCAAATCAATCAAAAATCACAGCCAATCAGAAGAGAGTGTGGGCGGAGTCTCTCTGCATACTCACTGCACTCGCAACCAAATCAATCAAAAATCACAGCCAATCAGAAGAGAGTGTGGGCGGAGTCTCTCTGCATACTCACTCCACTCGCAACCAAATCAATCAAAAATTACAGCCAATCAGAAGAGAGTGTGGGCGGAGTCTCTCTGCATACTCACTCCACTCGCAACCAAATCAATCAAAAATCACAGCCAATCAGAAGAGAGTGTGGGCGGAGTCTCTCTGCATACTCACTCCACTCGCAACCAAATCAATCAAAAATCACAGCCAATCAGAAGAGTGTGTGGGCGGAGTCTCTCTGCATACTCACTGCACTCGCAACCAAATCAATCAAAAATCACAGCCAATCAGAAGAGAGTGTGGGCGGAGTCTCTCTGCATACTCACTCCACTCGCAACCAAATCAATCAAAAATTACAGCCAATCAGAAGAGAGTGTGGGCGGAGTCTCTCTGCATACTCACTGCACTCGCAACCAAATCAATCAAAAATCACAGCCAATCAGAAGAGAGTGTGGGCGGAGTCTCTCTGCATACTCACTCCACTCGCAACCAAATCAATCAAAAATCACAGCCAATCAGAAGAGTGTGTGGGCGGAGTCTCTCTGTAAGCGCACTACACATTTTTTAATGTAACTGACTGTATTCGTCTGACAGAAGAGTGTCATACACCTGATGACTTGAGGGCGAGTGAATCATGGGCTAATGTTCATTTTGGGTGAACTAACAGATACTCTAAGACTTTTACTCAAGTCGTATTGAAATGGGTGACTTGTAATGGAGTAATTTTCGCTGTACTTTTGCTCGCGTGTGGTTTTCAGGTCCTCTTTACACCTCTGCTTATGATGTGTTGGGACTCGCTGTGACGTGTGTTCTCGCCTCACAGGTTCGTGAAGGAGAAACGCCCGACCATCTCCCCGAACTTCAACTTCTTGGGTCAGTTGCTGGACTTTGAGAAGAAGCTGAGGAGCGAGCGAGTCCGGCCGCGAGCGGGTGTGTGTGACGAGCCGAGGAAGTGTGTGTCGGAGGAGCCCGGCGTCTC